CCTGTATAGCTCTGGCTGTCCTGGAACTCATCTGTAGACCAGGCTGGCCTCGAACTCAGAGATCCACCTGCCTCTGCCTCTGCCTCTGCCTCCCCAGTGCTGAATTAAAGGAATGCACCACCACTGCCTGGCTAACTACTTATGATTTTTATTGTTTGTTTGAGACAGGGTCTCTCGTATCCTCCAGGCTGGCCTTGAACTCTTGATTCTCTACTACTTTCCACCTGTCAAGTGCTGGGATTACAGATGTGTTTTTTTTGTTGTTGTTTGTTTGTTTGTTTGTTTTGTTTTGTTTTTTAGAGACAGGGTTTCTCTGTAGCTTTGGAGCCAGCCTCTACCTCCCGTTGGGATTAAAGGTGTGTGCCACCATCACCCAGCACAGATGTGGGTTTTTGTTTTCGTTTTTTGTTTGTTTTAATGGAAGGACATTGTCTTTGTTACCTTTCCTGACACTGATAAAATACCCTGACTGAATGAAAAACAGAAATATAAAGAAAAGGCCATGACTGCTCCTAGGTGGGACAGAGGGAAAAGTTTACTGTAGATAAAAGGGAGAACAAAGCCAGAGGCAGGGACATCTGGGAGAGTTCAGAGTGGACATGACCCTGAGCCGTGTGAAGAAAGAGGGGAGAGGAAGGGAAAGGGAGATGAGGGAACCAGATGCCGCAGCTGAGGCAAAATGTGAAAGGGGCAGGTAACCAGAATAACTGGATTCTATAGGGAAGAGCGGGTGGGGGGGGGTGTATAGCCCAGCCCCGGGATGGAGAGGGAAGTGGGTAGAGGGTTGGCATACCCCATAACTGGTAGAGACTGAGGGATTCGGGGAGTAACTGGTGGCCCCGTCTGTCCCACAGTTTGAGACTTAATACTGACAAAAGCAACTTAAGGGGGGAAGAGTTTATTTTGACTCAATATTTGAGGTTATGATCCATCCTGGAGGGGTGGGTATCACAGAACAGGAACTTGAGGCATCTGGTCACATTGCACCCACAATCAGAAAGCAGAAGGCAAAGGCTGCATGTGCTCAGCTATGTTTCTCCTCTTTACACAGTCAGGAATTCCAACCCAGGGAATGGTGCTGCCCACAGTGGGCTGGTCATTTAGATAACTTAATCAAAACAACCCCTTCAGCCATGCCCAGTGCCTGGCTCCTGGGTGACTCCAGAGCTCATTAAATTGACAACTGAGGTTAACCAGCACAGGCATGGAGAAGACAAAGAAAGGCAAAGAAAGAAAATGGGAAAACACAGGAGAGATGATTCTGCTAACACTCATTCCCCTCAAGTTCTGACAAGAGTGTTGCTGCTGCTTGGCTTTCAGAGAAATAAAAATGTTGGCACCATTAACTGATATGGGTTAGAAACCTCTCAAACAAATGGTTGATAAAGCAGGAGGGTAAGCTGTTAGCACACACCTTTAATACCAGAGGCAGATGTATCTTTATGAGTTCTGAGCCAGCCAATGCTACATAGTGAGACCCTGTCTCAAACAAAACCAAACCAGCAGGGTGACAAAAGAAGAAAAAAAAAGCAATGAGACACCACCTTTGACACAGAAAACTGGCAAACGTTAGTTCTGAGGACACCCAGAGTTGGCATGGCTGAACACCAGCAGTTAGCCTTCCTGCTGTGAGGAGTGTGTTGAACAATGGGAAGCATGGCACCCAGGAAGCTACACACAGACACGACTGTCACACCTAACTATGGGAATGTAAAAGGAATTCCTAGACATAACCAATGATCTTTCCAGAAAATGTTCGTTCCAGCATCATTTGCAGCAGAAAAAAAAAAAAAAAAAGATGTAAAGTGTGGTCTAGCCATACAATTGAACAGTGTATAGAAATAGGGCAAGCGAATCAGAGCTTTGTGTTCTGCTGCAGACAAACTCAAAACGCTAAACAAAAATAGCAAACTACAGATTACGTAAGCCGGTCCCATTTCTCTGGAGTATAAATGATGTTATGCATGTATATATGTTGAATATATATATTCAACTGTATATATGTTGAAAGTGTATAAAGTCGAGAAAGAACAATAAACACCTGAGTTGGAGCAGAAAGCCCAAGTAGGGGGTAACGGGGAGGGTTGTTGTGCATGCTGGGACCATGGGTGCAGGTTATGTTTAGACTGTTCTTTCTGGCACAGCTAAAAGTGTTTCACCCAAAGGAAAATGGTGGGTACAGTGCTGTGCATCTGTTAGGACAGGGTTGGGAAGGGTGGGTGGACAGACACAGTGGAAAGGAAACCCTAGGGACTGCACAATACCAACACCCTGATATTCCTGAGAGGGTGGGAAGGGGTGGGTTGCAGTGATGGGGCTCTGTTGTAGGCTTCGTGATCCAGGGCTCTACTGGAGAGTTTCCATTCCTGACCAGCATCGAGCGCCTGGAGGTGGTGAGCCGCGCACGCCAGGCCATACCCAAGGACAAGCTCCTGATAGCCGGCTCTGGCTGCGAGTGTGAGAACATAATGCCTTGGGACCTGTGGTTGCTGGGCTGTGGGGGATCTAGGCTCCTGGGCCCTGGGGTTGGGTTCTGTCTATTGTTTTGCCTCTGCTGAGACCCATTGAGGCCCTCTTTGCTTGCCTTCTCCCCTCTCCCTCGCTGCAGCCACTCAAGCCACAGTAGAGATGACCGTCAGCATGGCTCAGGTCGGTGCTGATGCTGTCATGGTGGTGACTCCTTGTTACTATCGTGGCCGCATGAGCAGTGCTGCCCTCATTCACCACTACACCAAGGTAGGTGGGAGGGGTGGGCATGGATTAGAGGCCTGGGACCAAGAGGAGGTTGGCAGACATGGAGGCCATGCCTAAGGAAAAGCTAGGAGTGGAGTGGAGAGCCTATATCGTGTTAATAGTCACTCTAAGACCAAGGTATAATGCCATGTACCAACTGTGTGACATTAGACCACTTGTCTAACCTCTCTGTATCAGTGTCCTTTAAAACAGGAAGAATAGGGCTGGAGTGATAGCTCCATGGTTAAGAGCTCACAATGCTCTTACAGATGGCCTAAGTTCAATTCCTGGCACCCATGTTGGGTGGCTTGCAACCCTATTCAACTCCAGTTTTAGGGGATCTGGATTCCAAGAGCGCCAGAACTCATGTGCATATACCCCACACACGCACACATGCTTAAAAATAATAAAATAAATCTAAAGAAAATAAATAAAACAGGAAGAGTAAGGCCTTGTGTGCTTCTCCAGGGCTATACAAGATCTGCAGCATACATAGCTTCAAGCTGTGCCTGATGTACAGACAGCACTCAGAAACTTCCCATCATTGTACCCATACTTCAGGAGGCAGACCTGTCACACAGCCCTGCAGTGACATGTCCAGGGCCTGTGAAGGTAAGCCTCCAGCCCCTCAGACCCAGCCACTTGTCATCTCCTCCTCTTCTCTGTGCCCCACAGGTCGCTGATCTTTCTCCAATCCCAGTGGTGTTGTACAATGTCCCGGCCAACACAGGGCTAGACCTGCCTGTGGACGCAGTGGTTACGTTGTCTCAGCACCCGAATATCATTGGCATAAAGGACAGTGGTGGCGATGTGAGTGGCGGCAGCCCCCAGACAGGACCACCTCCTCTTTCTCTGCTTCCAGCATGGTAGTTTCTAACCCAGAGTAGCTCTGAGACCTGTATCAGTCCCATGCTCGTTGGGTGGGCTCCCCGAGGCACTGCCTCAACTTTAGGGCATCTCTCTGGATATTGGGGTGTATTTTGACAGCACATGCCCAGCCTGTTCAGGCTGGTTGCTGAGCTCTGGACCCAGCTCTCACACTGCGTTTGCTGCAATAGGTGACAAGGATTGGGCTAATGGTTCACAAGACTAGCAAGCAGGATTTCCAGGTGTTGGCTGGGTCAGTTGGCTTCCTCCTGGCCAGCTATGCTGTGGGTAAGTCTCCTGCTGCTCTCAAATGGTCCTGACCAACCAAGATGCACCCAGATGCTGGGACTACTGGGAGAGACAGGGTGGCAGGGGTGGGGAGTGGGGGCCCGCCTGTGTCTGCAGGGAGCAGCTGTCTCAACTCTGGGTGCTTGGGCTTGACCCTTTTGAGTGGGGGAGGGTATAAGAGTACAGTATGGGCCTGTAGAGATGCCAAATTGCATGCTTCGATGACAAAATTAGCTCCTCTAATGTCACTCTGTAAATCATTCTCTGGAACAGAGGCCTCAGGCCCCTGCTCTAGGCCAGGAGTCCACTCTCCTCTGCCTCCGACCATGGGACAGAATGAACTGTCAGACCTGGGGGATTGGGATGTGGGAGCTCTAGCTGTCTTGCCAGATTCTCTTGCAGTCCAGCATCCTAGCAACGCCACGTAGACCAGCTGCTCTCATTTGTTCTGACAGAGGGTCTTTGGGTGCAGGTGGGATTGAGCCCTGGTGGGTGGGGCAGAGGAGCAGAGGCAAGCTGAAATTGAGTAGATTGTTCAGCACCGTGGGAGACAAGAGTGGTTTCCAGTACCTTCGGGCTCTGCAGACTTCAGCTTTGGTCCATCTCCCTTTACCATCATCCCGTCTCTAAAGTGCAAGGTGGGGGAGGGGCATTTGTAGCTCTTTCCTGAGATACAGATGGAGAAGGCACAGGGTCTGGAGGTGGGGGCAGCCTGAGCTGTGGTTTCAACCATGCCACTTATGCACTCAGTAACCCAAGTGAAGACACCAGCCCTCACTGGGCCTGCATTTTACCCTAAGAAATGAAGTGACCTGAAGATTAGAGGGCCAGCCCCATCAGCCACAGTGCCCAACTCAGAATATGTAATTTTTGTTTTCTTGAGACAGTCAGTGTCTTTCTATGTAGCCCCAATTATTCTAGAACTTGCTTTGTAGTCTAAGCTCACCTTTGAACTCACAGAGATCCACCTGCCCCTACTCCCCTAGTGCTTCTGGGATTAAAGGCATGTATCTCCATGCTTGGCTATGAGTATCTTTTGTTTTAAAATAAATTTGCTCTTGTTAAATTTTTTAAAATCATATCTTATTTATTTCGTATGCGTATGTGTATGTGGGTGCACATATGTAATGGCACATACGTGGAGGTCAAAGGGCAACTTTGGGAAGTTGTTCTCTCCTACCATTTAAGTCCTGGGGATTGAACTTGGGGTTTCAGGCTTAATTGTAAATACCTTTTACCCACTGAGCCATCTCACTGGCCCCATAGTAGGTATCTTTCTTCCGGTCTTGAGTCACCATGCTTAGTGTCACTCCTAACTCGTTTTAGAATCTCTCTCAAAGGCTGAGTGTCACATCATGAAGCCAAGGGGAGGAAATGCCCAAGCTCCTGACCCCAGTGGTGGCCCAGTTAATGGAGGAATAAGATTTCAGAACTTCAGTTCCTATTTCCCCAGCCCCTAAGGTGTCAAGATCCTATTGGGGGAACATGTTGGTGGGAGGTAGGTGAAGGGGCTGTCCTGTTGAGCTCCCTGCCCCACCACTGGCTCGGAGCAGCAACTGGCATGCAGACTTCTCATTTCGAACAGACAGGCAGCCTTTGCCTCTGGAAGTACATACTCTAGACACATACAGCATGCCTGTGACATGGCCCAGAGAGTATAGAAATCTACATCCTATGTTCCCAAAATGAAAAAGCTACGAGGACCTAGGCTTTGGGATTCTTTGTAGTAAGTGGCCCTGACAGATGTTTTGTGTCTCCTTTGAGCAGGAGCTGTTGGGGGCATATGCGGCCTGGCCAATGTCTTAGGGGCCCAGGTGTGCCAGCTGGAGAGACTGTGCCTCACGGGGCAGTGGGAAGCTGCCCAGACACTGCAGCACCGCCTCATCGAGCCCAACACTGCGGTGAGCTCCCAGCCTGGGCTGGCATGGGGGTCCCTGCTCAATCCTTCCTTTTCAAAATGTCCATTTAGACAATGTCCCAGTATGGGAGCCCCTACGGCCTCTCCAGGAAACTCCAATTGCAGAAAGAGTGAGCCCTGTCGGTTCTCAAGATCTGGAGTTCATTGGAATTCCCACATGGGCCAGTTAATGTCCTCTGAACATGCACTAAAACAAGTGTCGGATGGCTAAGGTTTCTTACTGGCTAGCTCTCTCTTTCATTATTATCCATTTCTATTAATCTATGTATCTCCACATGGTCTTGACTTACCGGAGAATGCCCGGGCAGCATACATTCCTGGTAGCTACACAGCACCTCTCGGGTGACTCACTGTCTTCTTCGATCCTCTTCCCAGAACTCTCCTAGTGTGGTAGCCCTACCTATATTTCCTGCCTAGCTACATCATGCCTGCCCATTGACTGAAACAGTTTTATTATCAGCCAATAAGAGAAACATACATTCGCAGCATACAGAAGGACATTCCCCATCAATTTTGAAAGAATCTCACTGTGTTGCCAAGGCTGGATTTGAACTTGTTGGCTCTTGAGAGCCTTCTGCTTCAGCCTCCTGAGTATCTGGGACTGTCCTGATTTTGTATTTGCATTAAGGTGAATGTCCATTGATCTCCTTCTCTGTCTGTATCCTCACCAGCGTGCATGCTAGGCTCTCTTATCTTCCAGCTCTCTCGATAGCTGGGAAGTGGCACATGCTTCTGGTAGCTGAGGACATCGAATGTCTAGCCTTGTCATTCAGATATCTGTTTTTGTCCTGAGCCCATTTTCTTTCTGGTGCTGGAAACTGTGCTCAAACCTCACGTAAAACCAGACATTGTGCACTTTGCCATCCACCTTCAGTCCTGACTGGATGCTTATCCATTTTTTTTCTTTTTTGTAACATCCCTGGCTGTCCTAGAACTCACTCTGTAGACCAGGCTGGACTCAGACTCAGAGATCTGCCTGTCTCTGCCTCTCCAGTGCTGAGATCAAAGGCGTGCGCCACCTCACCTAGCATCTTGCCCATTTTCTAAGTGAATGTCTTTCTTAATTGTTAAGTTTGGAAGAACTACACACTACTTCTTTGTTGGATGTGTGCTTGTAAATATTTTCCCCTAGTTTGTAGCTTGTCTTTTTCATTTTATTTGCATGCTTTTGATGAATCAAATTTTAAATTTTGGAAAAAAATTAAAATTTTTTTGAAGTCAAAGTTACCAATATTTTCTTTCTTGAATCACACTATTAATGTCAAGCCTAGGAAGTCTTTGTTCAGCGCTAGTTGCCAAATATATTCTCCTACTTTGCTTTCTAAAACTTTTCTAGTTGCATTATAAAAGTTTGTGACCAATTTTGAGTTAATTTTTGTGTAAAGCCTGAGACTTTGGTCAAGGTTCCTTTTTTTTTTTTTTTTTTTTTTTTTTTTTTTTTTTTTTTTTTGCCTATGGATATCCTCTGCCTCCAAAACCATTTGTGGAGTGTTTTCTTTCCTCTGCTGAACTGCCTTTCTGCCTTTGTCAGAAGTCAGTGAGGCAGATTTGTGAGACTCTATTTCTGGATTCTCTTTTCTCCATTGATCTGTGTGTCTATACCTCCACTGTGCCACAGTCTGGATTGTTAGCTGCAGCATAAGAGTCCAAATAAGTCTTGTAATAGGCTGCTTCCTCTATTTTTTTTATCTTCCTTAAAATCACTTGAGGTAATTGATTCCTTCGTCTTTCTATATTAATTTTAGAATAATTTTGTCTACATCTACAAAAAAAATCTTACTGGGAATTGTTAACCCATAGACCACTCTGGGATGACAACATTCCCTGTGTCATTGTTCGATATTTTTGTTTCTTAAGACAGGGTTTCTATGTGTAGCTTTGGAGACTGTCCTGGAACTTGCATTGTAGACCAGGCTGGCCTTGAACTCACAGAGATTCACCTGCATTACCACATCCAGTTACTTCATGCTTTTTTGGGCAAATGAAAATGGTATTTTAATTTCACTATCTACATATTCATTGCTAGTATGCTAGTATTAGAAACAACTCTCTCTCTTTCTCTCTCTCTCTCTCTCTCTCTCTCTCTCTCTCTCTCTCTCTCTCTCTCTCGCTAATATGATAGGCCTGTGCCACTAGGCCCACAGTACCTTGATTGTGTTTTTGCTTTTTAAGTTTTGCATGAGAGGCAAGTGGTGGGTGTGTTCTAGGTTTCCTGCCTAGCTTGGGTTTTCTCCTCAGTTTTAGAAAGACAGCTGAGAAGGAAAGGGGTCTTCTTCCTAGATATGGAGCCCCCCCCCAATTGACCCTCAATAGTTCTAAGAACTTGTAGAAATGAAGTCTTCTAGCTAAGGGAGGCTGGGGCTGCCCTCAACACTCTGGCCATTCTCCTGGGGAGGAGGCCTGGTTTTCTCACTCTCATCTACCCAAAGGAAGGAAGGATCCCACACCTGCATTCTGCCAGGACAGGAGGAGGTGGTGTCTCCAGCAGTTTTGGGGGCTGCTGTGATTTTAAGGGTGTTTTGTCTTCTGATGTTTGAGTCATCTCTACGGGAGGTGTTGGTATCATCTCACTTTACAGAGGAAGTGGTGTTGGCTGCCCTCACGGGAAGATGGGAAGTCCCTCCCTTCAGGCTGTGCCCTCCTATGCCAGCCCTGGGCACACACTCAGGCATGCCTGGCACACCTTGTTGTTGCTGCCTGAGCTGTAGGCTCAGACACTCCAACAGCAGCCTGATGTCACTTTATTGCCCTGTTCTTGTCCAAGGCATGTTCTTCTTCTGCTGCTGCCAGACTCCTGCCCCAGGCTATATTTAGGACTGTCTAAGGTCTTTGTCACCCAAACAGCTAGTCCTTTCCCCAGGGCCCAGGAGGAAGCACACAGGCTATCTTCCACACCCACGGTAGGAACAAGGTTTTCTCCAGGTCCTGTGTGGTTCCATCTTCTTCTGGAGGTTTTGGCCAACTACAAAGCTTCAGGCTTTTAAAGCCAGGCTGTTAAGACATCATGGGTGGGAAAGACATCTGTTTGCTGATGACGGCTGGCCTCTAGTGGTGGATAGTTGCAAGCCAGTTTACCCAATATTCACCTAGCCTTTCTCCACTGAACATTTCTCCACTGAACATTTACCCTTAAGGAAACCCGAACCTCTAAAGTCCCCCCCTCCCATGGAGCTTTATTTATTTATTTATTTATTTGTTTGTTTGTTTGTTTGTTTTTTGGGTTTTTTGAGACAGGGTTTCTCTGTGTAGCTTTGGAGCCTATCCTGGCACTCACTCTGGACACTAGGCTGGCCTCAAACTCACAGAGATCCCCCTGCCTCTACCTCCCGAGTGCTGGGATTAAAGGTGTGCGCCACCAATGCCTGGCCCCATGGAGCTTTATTAAGCAATGAGTTCTTTCCTAGTTTTTAGGTCACTGAAGATTCATTCCAATATTTCTGATCAGTTGCTATAACAAAAGGAAAGAAACCAAATGCTTTATTTATTCTATAAAATTCCTTGTATGATTTTAAACTGTGGCAGTAGCTGTAGGTGCCCAACTGTAACATGCAAGCCTTTAGAGATAATTTTTCTAGGGAAGAGAAGTTGCTCAGATAATAAATAGTACAGTCATACAACAAACCTCCTTTGGCTAATGCTATATTATTTTCTGTGAAGGCATTTAAATAGGTCCAGGGAGGAGCTGTGTGGGGGGGAGGGGGTGATGCTGGGGACTAAGGATCTGGACTATGCCCAAGGCTGTCATGGAATCGTCTCCTTCCTTTCTAACCAGGTCTGCTGTGCTGCAGGGACAGAACAGGTGGGACTCTGGTGCTCAGGCCTTGCTGACTTCTTCTAGGACAGCTTTCTATCCCAGCACGAGGGCTATGTGCCCCGCTTCTTTTTTTAATTTTTTTATTTTTTAATGTTTATTTTGTGCCCCACTTCTTGTTGGAGTAGCTGTTGTGATAAAGCACGAGGGGCACCTTGGCGGATTCTATGGCAGGCGAGGTTGACAGAGGCGGGAGAGAAGCACACCAGGCAGAGTTTAAGTGTCAAGGTTTATTAGAAAGGGAGGGAAGGGGAAGGAAAGAGGTAAAGAGACACAGAGACAGAAGACAGAAGAGAAGAGGGAGCCAGGAAAAGTCTTGTCTGCCCCAGGGGAACAGCAAGGAAGGACAACATAAGTGGGTGGGGGTCTGTCTTTTAAAGGGGTTCTTTGCACCTGCATGCTGACCAGAGTACTGCCTGAGTGCATTCTGCCATGTGACAGGGGCAGGCCAGCATAATGTCTAAGTCCTTAAAGTAGTTTTTCTCCTAAACCCCCAAAAGGGAATCTTCCTATTCAGGCTGAGTCTCTCCATAACTAACTAAATTCTGGTGTCCAAATCTGGATTCTCAATGCAACATACACCACAGATTAGGAGTTCTTTATGAGAGGGTGGAAACCCCAACTTTATGAAGTAACAGATGCCAAGGTTCAGGTAGATGTGTCTGAAGTGTGGGGGCTCCACACACAGTCTCTTCTAACAAGTGCTTCTTCTCAGGTGACCCGGCGCTTTGGAATCCCAGGGCTGAAGAAAACCATGGACTGGTTTGGCTACTATGGAGGCCCCTGTCGTGCCCCCTTACAGGAGCTGAGCCCCACTGAGGAGGAGGCCCTGCGCTTGGATTTCAGCAACAATGGCTGGCTCTGATGGCAAGCAGGAGACACCTCGTCTGAGCCTTTTGGGACTTCTGTTCCCACAGCCTGTAGAGGAGCCAGGCATTAGGAATTAGGGCTTGTCTTAGTCACTGTTCTATTGTTGTGAAGAGACACCATGACCCTGGTGACTCTTATAAAGGAAAGTATTTAATTGAGGCGGGCTTACAGTTTCAGAGGTTTAGTCCATTATCGTCATGGTGGGAAGCATGGTGGCGTGCAGGCAGACATGGTGCTGGATCCAGAGTTCTACATCTAGATCCACAGGCAGGAGGAAGAGAAAGCCATTGGGACTGGCTTGGGCTTTTGAAAACCTCAAAGCCTACCTCCAATGACACACTTCCTTCAATAAGGCCATACATCCTAATTCTTTCAAATAGTGCCATTCCCTAACCATTTAAATGTAGGAGCCTATGGGGGCCATTCTTACTCAAGCCATCACATTCCACTCCCTGGCTCCCCATAGGTTTATAGCCATATTATAATCCAAAATGCATTTAGTCCAATTTCAAAAGTTCCCATAGTCCATCACAATCTCAAGACTGCTTAAAAGTCCAAAGTTCAAAATCTCTTCTGAGATTCATGGTGATCTCTTAACTCTAACCCACTGGAAAATCAAATTCAGAAAGCAGATCACATACTTCTGACATATAATGGCACAGGATATACATTAGCTTTCCAAAAGGGTGGAAAGGGAGCATAGTGTGGGAATACTGGGCCAAAGCAAGTCCAAAAGCCAGCTAGACAAACTCCAAACTCTGCAGCTCCATGTCTGATGTCAAAGCATGCTTCAGATCTCCAACTCCTTTCAGCTTTGTTGACTACAACATACTCTCTCTTGGACTGGTTCTGCTCCCTGTTAGCAGCTCTCCTCAGCAGGTATCCCATGACTCATCCAGGCTTCAGTTTCACAGCTTCATGCAATGGCCTCTCTGTGCTTCCATGGGGGGACACCTCTCATACATATCTGTCCCCAATGGCTCTCCTTAGGTATGGAAGGAAATCCTACAATGCTTTTCTTGTATCCTTGATTCTCAAGTCAGAACCATGTGGCTGAAACTGCCAAGTTCTGCTGCTTGATGGGGATGGAACTTGTCCACCTTGTTCAAATACATTTTCATTAACTTTCTGGTTTTGATGGTTTTCGTCACTGTGTAGGCTTTTCCTGTGTAGTTATGTCTCACAAGTTGAAAGCTTTGGAGGGTGAAGGCTTGCCTTGAGGTCACCACTCTCTTTATTCCAATCAGCACCAGGGTTTTCTTTAAACTTTTCTTCTCCTTGAGCCCTGACTTAGCTCCATTACACTTCCTGGTGCTCTGTTTCTCCTCAAACTGTACATTTTATATTTTTCTCATGCTCAGCTTGCCCCTTTCTTAGATCTGCATAAGACTGGTTACTGATAACCACATGACACAATCAATACTAGGCTGCCTTGAAATCTCCTTTGCCAATTCCATTAATAGAAAAACTCTTCAATTTAGCCTCAGGGAGATTTTTCACGAAAGGACCAAAAGCAGCCACACTTTTCAACAAAATATCACAAGAATAGGCTCTGGGCCACTAATAATAATATTCTCCCCCGAGCCCTCGCGGGGTTCTACACTGCTCCCAGCACCACGTTCCGTGCTCCATTAGGATGGCCCATTAAGTCCCACTCCCACTTCAAGGGTTCAACTGTTTTTCTAATCCAAAGTCAGCATTCTGCCAACAAGAAAGCATGGTCAGGCTGTCACAGTCATACTCCACTGTCTGGAACTCACCCTAGTCCAGGCTGATCTCAAACTCAAAGAGATCCACCTGCCTCTGCGTCCGGAGTGCTGGAATTAAAGGCGTGCGCCACCAATGCCTGACTTGGGCTTCTTTTATACTCACCTTCCAGAGCAGTGGGGTTTACAAACTAGGTTTAGGACTGATGGGGAAAACCTAGACCTGAGAGAGGCAACCTAGAAAGCTGTCTGAGAGCTCAGACTCTGAGCTTCAACAGCCCCAACCCCTGTGGGGCCTTAGGGTAGCCCCTGATTTCCATGAGTCTCAGCTGTAATAAACCTTTCTCCCAGGCCTATGGGGGAGACTGAGATAAGAAGAGCTAGCATGGTGGGAGTGTTCTACGACTGGGCGCAGAAAAAGGAAAACGGGCAGCAGGTGACTTGAGGTCTTCCAGTAGGTCTGGCAATTACTGGTCTTGGGACTTGTATGCACTGATGCACAATCAAGTAGAAGGGAGCTGGGATCAGAAAGAGTAGGCTCAAGAAATCCCATCGAGCCCTGCCATTTACTAGCCTGGACAACCGGGACCTGCTGGTTTTAAAAACCTCATGCTTTCTGCTCCACAGTGTGTCTGTGTGTGGCCATAGGTCAACTTCTTGTGTTCCTCAAAAGCTGTCCATTTTGGTGCCTGGGCCTGCTAATTTGCTAGGTTAGGCTGGCTGGACAGTCAGCCCCAGAAATACTCTCTTTTGTCTTTGAATTCCTAGACTTGAGAGAAGCATTCACAACCATGCCCAGCTATAGTGAGATATCCACCCTGAGGTGCTGGTGTGATGGAGAGTGGGTTTTAGGTCTGGGGTCCTGGGGTCGGGACAGGTGGCTCTCTCTTGCTTCCGGACAGACAAGTCACAGAGGGCAGCGTGGGTGAATCCTTGGAGCTGGACCTTGCAGCAGTCACCTGCTTCTTGTGTAAGTGCATTCTCCCTGAATAAAGTTACATTAACCTATTTTGAGACTAGTCCCGAGAATCTTGATCTGCATTCACACCCAGCTTCTCCCATGGGTGCTGAGGATCAAACTCAGGTCCTCATGCTTGCACAGCAAACACTTCACTCACTGGCTGTTCTCTCCAGCTCACCACAGGGTTCTGAGAACCAGGCAGGCAGCAAAGTGTCAGTGTTAGCTCCAAGCATATCTTTTGGATAGCTTGGAGCGATCCAAACAGCATCAGGTTGATATTCATGAAGCCCTGAGTCCAGAAAGTCATGAATGCTAAGTGTAGGCAGTTGTGGTGATTGGTTTATTCCTATAGACACTTGTTTCTACAGTACAGCTCAGGGAATAAATAGAGGCAGACAGCTATGATTTCCACCACAGTCTGCTGTTGAGGGAGATCTGAGGATGGGAGCTGGGCTAACTGGAGACCTGGGGATTATTTTGGCAGGAAGATCTGCCCCAGGCTCGAGGGTCAAGACTCTTGCTTGAAGAGTCATGAGTGAAATGGAGGAGCCAATGCCAGTCAGTACACATGAGGATGGAGCCAAGTCTTCCAACACTCAAGGGGCTGAGAGTCTGATCCATTGGTGCACTGAGAAGGAACTCTCAGTGCAAGCTTTCCCAGGGATTCAGGTCATCCCATAGGAGACCTGGATAGCTTTGCCCCTTGCCCTGGATTGAATAATGAGTACAAGTCATAGTTACTCTTACACTAGTTTCTTATTTGGCTATTCTATGAAGGGATCCTGTCTGACATCTAAGGGAGAGAGAGGCACAGATGGGGACTGGGCTATCTGCTGTAACTCAGGTAAGGAAGACAGTTTACTTTAAAGTTGAGAGGGAAGAAAGCCACACTCTTACAATGAGGGGAAACAAGAAGACACAGAGACAAGCCTGGACCCAGGCCTCCAAATGCAGTGAATGAGGGGGTAACACACAGAAAAGCTCTGGCCTGGGTTTTACAGAGCTGCTGTGGTCTTAGTTACCCCTATCTTTTTCCTGATTTCTCCATGGCAGCACACAGGACTGGCCCTAAGTTGGAGCCAGGATCATTGGCCATAAGGGTAGGTGGATTAAAGAGATTCTATGTGGTTTGACAGCAGATAGAGAGAAGGCCACAGCACTGGGTACCAAGGTTCTAGAAACGGAGTAACAGCAAGGAGGAAAGAGCGGGCCCCTGTTCTTCAGCACATAAGGGTCAGGGAAGGACAGAACTGCTGCAGGGTCATGGGGCCAAAATCCTCCATGCTTTTCTTCGACTGAACTCCTGATTGGCAGGTGACAGCATCTCACAGGCTGTGGCGCCACAGTCATTCTCATATCATATCTGGTTCATTTGTTCACCTCACATGTTCAAGGGATTGTTTCCAGCTGTGCCCAGAGCTCCATCAGGCAGTGAGATTCCTGGCTGACTTGGAGGCACTCTGAGCCCGTTGAACCACAGCAGAGCACTTCTCACGCCTTAGCAGCTTGTTGTTCTCAAACAGGCCTTCATTTCGGGGTATTCCATGAGAACCATCAGGGAAAGTCAGCAAGCCTTTGAGGAGGGCAGAGAGAATGAGAAGGCATTAACGTTTTAGGTCAGCTCCATGTGTAGAGGCTGAAGAGGAAAGTGACAGACATGAGCACCACAGATTGTTGGAGAGTCACAGAGCATTCAGGAAAAGTAGGAGTGCTCCACCCATGTTACACTAAATTATCGTCCTACTGAGCTGAAACTTACCGAAGCCATCTACTCTGCCATTTTTAAATTCCCCCTCAAAGGTCATGTTGTCATAGCGAATGAAAACTCCGACGCCGTTAAACTTGCCCTGGGCAAACTCCCCCTCATACCTGCAAAGACACCAAGATGTTAGTGAGACTTTGGTGGGTGGGTGAGCTAGCTGTCTAGGGTGACTGAGGCGCACAGTTACTGGTGGGTGAGGCAAGGTGCAGAGCAAAGCTTATTCTACCCATCCCAGAGCTCTCTGCCTGTGCCACTTACACCATTCCCCAGCAGAGAGCAGGTCAGAAGGCATATATATGAGGGCTTAATTATAGGAAAAGAATCTAAGTGAACAGAGATAAAGTATAAGGTCACTCACCTCTTATTCATTTCCAATTCCACAACTATTTCATTTGATGTATTTGTTTTAGAGACAGAATGTTGCTATGTAGCCCAGTTTGGCCTCAAACCCAAGATACTCATGCCTTTGCCTCCCCAGTGCTGAGATTACAGACACAGGCCACCATACTTGGCTCTTATGTCTATTTTAAAATAATAAGGGCTGGCAAGATGTCTTAGTAGGCAAAAAAAACAAAAACAAAAACCTGTCTTCATGCCTGATGACCTGTGTTAAGTCCACATAGTGGAAAGGGAAAACTGACTCTGATCTTCACATGTGCTATGGCACACCTTTTACAAATAGATAGATAGATAGATAGATAGATAGATAGATAGATAGATAGATAAAAATTAAATAAAATCAAAGTAACCAGCCAAAGAACCCCTTGTCTGTTTTCTTTAGGGCCTGGGCAAGCTAAGGGCTGAACAGTCAGTCAGAGTCTCACTAGTTCAAAAACTGAGAAAGAAATAGCCTAATACTTACCTTGAGCCATCTGAGAAGGTCAGTACCCCAAAGCCATTAAAGAGCCCATTCTCAAAGTGACCCAGGTAGGTGCCACCATCGGCAAACATCAGTTGACCAAAACCATGTCTCCGGCCTGAACAAAGAGAAGGACAGGGACCAGGTTGGCATGGGGCAGCTTCTTTCTCACTGGCTTAGCAGTCCATGCTTTACACAGCTTTACCCCCCCCCCCCCCCCCCAAAAAAAAAACCTGCCCGTAGCCTCTGTGAGTGTGGAAAGTCCTGTCTCCTTGGGGCACAGGCCTGGCCACCGTGTGAACTGCCCTTGGCCTCTGTGAGTGTGGAAAGTCCTGTCTCTTTGGGCAGTCTCTTGGTTGGCTAGGACTGAGTCCATGAGACTCAAAAGTGTCCAGGCTGAGTTTCCAAACTGAACTATTAAGCTGCTTCTGGTAGAGTTTCTAGCATACTTCACAGCTCCAAAGAATTTTTGCTATTCCTAAGAATAGATTACTTCAAAGTGGGAAAAACTGTTGCAGAAAACTCAAGACCAGGAATGTCACTTGTTCTTGAATGTCTTAGCTAATTTCCAGATCCCCCTTAACTTCCAAAGACTCATTGCAATGAAGTCACTGCAGTGAATCCTAAACTTCTAATTTGCACCCAGAAGAATTCATTTGCTCTTCTGGGTACATTAACGTTTAAGACAACAGACTGTGTTAAAGCTCTACAAATCCACAAGTGGGAAGACTGAACTCATTTCATCAAACTCATTTCGCATTCCTTCATTAAGTTCCTATGTGGAGCTGAGTCCCACAGTGAGGGATGAAGATCCGTGAGATAGGCTGCCCCAGGAGCCCTTCTCACCCTCCTTCCATTCGCCACGGTATTCCTCCCCACTGGAATAGGTAAAGGAACCTTTCGTCAGGGTCATGGTGGTAGCTTTCAGAAGGAAAGGATGGCACCTATAAGAAACAGAGAAACCAGTGTCATACCACAGCCCAGGGACTCAAGGCGGTGGTCTGAAATGCATACTACCTCGGGTGCACTTAAGAAAACACCCCTCTTGCCACCCACTACCACATCTGCTAAAGCAGGCTTACCCCTACTTTTCTAAGTTTTCAGCCAGTTCCTGTTCCCTGTGACCTGGGATGGAAATGGAAGCTAAATCTGCAAACATTTATTCAATGTCTACTATGTGCTTAGATGTATAAAACGGAGTCTCTCCCGTCAATGAAGCTATAATATGGTTGTAAGCTCAACAGGAGAAACACCAAACTACAGCAGAGACAATGTAATTCCACATCAACTCAGATGGCAGGTCTTAGCAAGTACACAGGTGAGCAGCCCTCAACACAACCACGGTGCATGTCTGTGATCCCAGTGCTTGGAAAACAGAGGCATGTGTTCAAAGTCATCCTGAGGTACAAGAAACCATCTCAAAATAATAAACAGGAAAACCAAAATTGCTCAGCAAAGAAAGTAAAACAGTAACAAACAGAGAGAAAACAAGAAGCTGGTGTGACTAGAGAAGACGGCTTATTTAGGGAGTGATAGATACCCTGCATCCTTGAGTTTTTACAGAAACTCAAAGACATGGTACAAACTCCTTCACAAGTATAGATGAAGAAACAGAGTGGTTAAAAAGTTTTTTTTTGTTTTTTGTTTTTGGTGGTGCTGGGGAGATGGCTCAGTGGTTAAGAGCACTTGTTGCTCTTGTAGAAGACCCGGCTTTCATTCCCAGCCTCACATGGTGTTTTACAGCCATTCAAACTTCAGTTCCAGGGGATCTGACTTCTGTAGGTACCAAGCAAGCACACAGTGCATGTGCATACCCACAGGTAAATACTTATACACATAAAAAAAATCCAAAAAACAGTAAACGAAAATTTTGTTGGTGGTTGAGGAGGGACAAGCACACAGTCTTCCCTGACGATGTTGGCCCTTCGTCCTTCATGTAGAACCTCTGGTTTTAGGTCAGACCAGTTCATGGCACTCTCTGAAAACTATAGCAGCTAAGTTAGGGAAAGGAAGAGCATGGTGTCAGGGGTGCAGGTGGGCTTGTGAGATGAGGATTGTAGTGGGATGAAAACAGTGGTTAAGGAAAACAAATGTGACAACAGGAGGGGTTGGAGTAGCAGAATTAAGTCAGAGAAGCCTGCGAGGAAGGGGTAGCTTCCTACTAAGAGACAGACTTGTCTTAGTCTGGGTTACCTGTGTGCATTACTTTGCTAATGGAGTGTTACAAGGATAATAATACAGATGTGTAAATACAGAGGTTTGAGAAGCACCAGACTTGCCCCGGGCTGCACGTAGACCTGTTCTGCTTCCAGTGCATGAGTTCAGACCAATATTCGAGATGAGGAAAGATCATGAGGAGCAATTGTCTCAGCTGACCACAGAAACATGAACTCAGCAAGACCTAGAGGGCTGCCCTCTGAGCCTAGCCCCGTGGTAAATGACTCACAGCTTCATTGGGAAAAGAAATAATAGTCGTCTCAAGCCACAGTGTTTTAGAGATGTGCATTATCACCCAGTAAAAACCGACATATTCATGTGAGTGGACGATGGCCGCCATACAATGTAACGAGAGCAGAAGACATGCTATAATAAATGTATCATAGAAAAAGAAGCCACACCAATAGCGTTGGGGGCTAGTGGATGGTAAAAGAATTTTGTATTCAAGGATATCTCATAAGAAGAGAGACAAATGCTCAAGATATCATTAAGCATAAATGGAGACAAACAGAATCAATAAACAATAGAAATATTTTTCAATTTTCTGGATCTTTTTATTCACCCCTCATCTCTTCTGTATTTAAGCGACACAATGTTTTCTCAAATGATAAAATGCAGATTCATAGGCACAGACTTAAACCTATTGAGTCAGAGTCTGATGCCAACAGGACAAGTGCCTCTTTTCTTTGGAATACAGGGACTATATCTAGTGCACAGAGCTGGAGAGGACCCTTAAATGTTTGTGGGCCTGGTGCCAGTGACCAGTCTCCTTTCCTTTCAGGTCACACAGAAACTGAAACTCTTATCATCAGTCCAGGATCAGAGCGGCTTGGGTAGAGGTCAATGCAGCTTCTCAGCAAATACAACATTAATGAGAGGAAGATAAGAAGTGTTCCATAAGAATTTCAAGAGAGGACTCTTTACAGTAGAGCTAAGGTGTTCTGATAGCTATAGGTCATACATAGCTCTTCCTAGAACTAAATGAGTTAATGGCAATCAAAGTCAAAGGATGGTACAAATTGTAAACATGCTGGGCATGGTGTCACATATCTTTGATCCCAGCATTCTGGAGGCACAGGTCAGCCAGGGCTACATATAAGACCTAGTCGCAAAAACAAACAAATAAATAATAAATAAAAACCCCAAATTGCAACATAACGATTCAAAACACACCCACAAGTATCTGAAGAGCTGGGGCTGGAGAAATGGCTCAGAGGTTAAGAGCACTGGCTGCTCTTGCAGAGGTCCTGAGTTCAATTCCCAGCAACCATATGGTAGCTTACAACCATCTATAATGAAATCTTCTGGCCTGCAGGCACACATGCACACATGCAGACAGAATACTGTGTACATAATAAATTTAAAAAAAAGAATCTGAAGAACTGTGTAAGTGTGTATGTATGTATGTATGAGAGAGAGAGTGAGAGAGAGAGAGAGAGACAAAGAGAGAGAGAGAGAGAGAGAGAGAGAGAGAGAGAGAGAGAGAGAGAGGGAGAGAGAGAGAATGTGTATGTATTTGGTGTTCTGAGACAGGGTCTCTTAATGAAGTCCTGGCTAGCCTGGAGCTTGTATGTAGACCAGGCAGGCCTTGAATTCAGAGAGATCCTCCTGTCTCTGCCTCCTGAATCCTGGGTTTATGACATGTACTACCAAGCTTTGCTAAAGAACTTATCTTTGACTAAATGTTATAACTGTACTGTCATGATAAAATCTGTCACTAGAGTTAGAAGATCTTAAGATAAGGGTATTTTCTTTATATGTTTAGGTTAACTAATTACTCTTCACTTAACTTTGGTGAATTACTGTGGTGAGGTTTAAGGAGTGGGTACACCGGGCTTCAGAGGGACAATACTCATGTACCTACTATTTACTTTTCCTAAAAGCTACATGGAACTTCCAGAGTGGCAGCTCACCTTGTTCCATAGGGATCAGGAGAAAAAAAAAAAGAAATATTTGAGGATTATCTATGGACAAAGTGCTAGCTATTATCTTAAGTTGCAAATCTATCTGGTTTTTGTTATGCTGTTATGCTCTTGGGCCAATATCTTAAATATTTTAAAGAAGGTAATGAAATTTGAGAATTTATTTATTTATTTATTTATTTACTTATTTAATGAGTGCTCTATCCGTATATTTGCCTGCGTGCCTGAAGAGGGTCTTGGATCCCATTATAGGTGGTTATGAGCCTGTATGTGGTTGGTGGGAATTGAACTTAGGACCTCTAGAAGAAAACCCAATGCTCTTAACCTCTGAGCCATTTCTCTAGTCCCTGAGAACTTATTTTTATTACCAAATGTGGTAAAGCACTTTTTAAAAGTGTTTTAAATGTATGCATGTGTGTGGGAACCTGCATGAGTGTATGTATACTATGTGTATGAAAGAGCTGGGGCAGCCAAAAGAGGGCTTTATATCCCCTGGAACTAGAGTTACAGACTGCAGTGTCTCCCTAAGTTTGATCAGACTTGGACTGCTTTAAATACAGCATCATAGAAGCAGTGTTCATCATAAATGTTCATTCTGCTTACTGCTAGACCCATTTCTCAAACCCTGAGCCACCTTCTAGGAACAATGACAGGAGACCGTGACCAGTGAGATTGCTCAGCAGGTAAAGGTCCTGCCCCCACTGACACCCTGAGCTTGATCCCTGAACCCACAGGCTGGTGGGAAGAGAGAACCGATTCCAGAAAGCTGTCCTCTGACTTCCACAAGCATACCACGGCATGTACACATACACACAAACAAATGAGAAAGTGCATAAATAAAAAAAAAAAAAAACTATCTGGAGGCTCCCAAGTAACAAGAGAGCCAAGCCAGTTACAGGTCATGTGTTGCTGGCTCCCGTTGGCATTCTCATTTTTTAATCATCTTAGTTCAGGCAGGCACCAGGCATCAGGGAAGGAGATGTCAAATGATTCCAGCTCCCGGACACTGAACCCACATCTCATCTGAGAAATCATGGAACAAAGAGAAGCCATGTCCATGATGTCAGACCCAGATTCCTGGCCCACAGAATACCATGGGGTAGTTTTAAGCTGCCAAGTGTGGGGTTAATTTGTCATTTAGTGGGAGCAAACCATACACCATCTGTCAACTGCCCCTGCCACCATTCTGTGCTGTTTTTCAAGTGTATATAATACCAATTTCCACTCCTTTTTCCTCTAGAGAGATACAGTAAGATCGGAAGTTGTTTGTCAAAACCATGTCCAGTCTCAAGAAGAAAATCAGAAGTGCTAATTAAAGGGAACATATGTAGAATTCATGGGTCTCAGGTTATAGTTGATTACATTTGGCTAGAAACTGGTACGTGTGTCTAAATAGTTGTTATAGTCACTTCCTGGGACAGTGTTTGAATTAATTTAGTTTTGTAACTATCCATGATCATTAATAGTCAGCTGCACAGCCACAAGGCCAAGAGGGAATTTCATCAGTAACAATGATTATCCATAGTCATTGGGACAGATCTAGTTTAATAAAGTGCTAATGAAGATGGAAAATCCCAACACTTTCATAAGGGACACAAATAGTGTTTACATTACTTGCTCATACAATCTTGTGGAAGAGAGTTGGTGCCCTAGGCTTTAGATATGCACAAGAAATCCAGTCACAAGCCAAGAAAATTCACATTCCCACAGACACCCTTTCTGTACTCATGATAGACAATGCAAAAGATCAGGCCAAACATAACCCAAAGTTACCATTTTTGGCTCTATCCTATTACTATCCTAATATCCTAATATCCTAATATCTACTATCCTATTACTCTGCAAAAGAACATAGTCTGCTATAATTCTTTTCTTCCAAACAGAACTTTAAGACAGTGACAAATTTTTTTTTCTGTAGTTTATTTATTTTTCTTGAGACAGGGTTTCTCTGTGTAGCCTTGGCTGTCCTGGAACTTTGTAAACCAGGCTGGCCTCAAACTCACATAGCTCGGCCTGCCTCTGCCTTCCAAGTGCTGGGATTAAAGGCATGTGCCACCACCACCCAGCTGCTTTCATTTCTTTTTAAAAATGCTTTACATTTATGTATATGTGTATGAACCTTTGTGAGTGTATATAGTTTGTGTATGCAAGAGCCCATGGTGGCCAAAAGAGGGCTTATATCCCTTGGAACTGGAGTTCCAGGTAGCTGTGAGCCACCATGTGGGTGTTGGGGACTCAATTCTGGCCCTCTTTACTGCTGAACCATCTCTCCAGATTCTTGTTTGCTTCTCTCTCTCTCTCTGTGTGTGTGTGTGTGTGTGTGTGTGTGTGTGTGTGTCTGTCTGTCTGTCTGTCTCTCTGGTTTTTCGAGACAGGGTTTCTCTGTAGCTTTGGAGGCTGTCCTGGAACTCACTTTGTAGACCAGGCTGGCCTCAAACTCACAGAGATCCACCTGCCTCTGTTTCCCGAGTGCCAGTGTTAAAGGAGTGCACCACCACCCAGCTTGTTTCTCTTTTTTATTATTTATTTATTTGTTTGTTTGTTTTTTTGAGACAGAGTTTCTCTGTGTAGCTTTTGAAGCCTATCCTGGCACTTGCTCTGGAGACCAGGCTGGCCTCGAACTCACAGAGATCCACCTGCCTCTGCCTCCCGAGTGTTGGGATTAAAGGCGTGCACCACCAACGCCCAGCGTTTCTCTTTTCTAAAAATCAAGTTTACTGGGGCTGGAGAGATGGCTCAGCGGTTAAGAGCACTGGCTGCTTTTCCAGAGGTCCCCGGCTCAATTCCCAGCACCCACATGGCAGCTCACAACTGTAACTTCAGTTCCAGGAGATCTGACACCTTCACACGAATACACATAAAATAAAGTTAAATAAATTATTTTTAAAAAATCAAGCTTACTAAAGGCCATTTATGCATTCACCACAGTAACTTTTGTCTAAATTAAGAAGTCTTCTTTGTTTTTTGAAAGAGGATCTCTCTTTGTAGTCATGGCTTACCTGGAATTCACTATGTAGACCAGGCTGGGCTTAACTCAAGAGAGATCCACCTGCCTCTGCCTCCCGAGTGCTGGCATGCTCCATCATATCCAGATTAAATTAAGAAGTTTTAAAACAAAATAACTGCAATCACTTCCCCAACCTGAGAACACTTATTTCCCAGTTAGAGATGATTTGTTTGGGAGCAGCCACCTTAACTACCCACGCATCTCCCAAGGCCAGAGCCACTTTTCTCAAGTAGGCAGTCTTACACAGTTCTTTTAGTTATTATAAAGAAAGCAACCATGGGATTTTAGAGCCCTAAGTGGAGAAAAAGAAAGCTGTGACGAACAAAGATTAGGAAACCGGGAATACTGTTTCAAGTGAAAATGAAATAATTAGGCTTTTGAATATATAATTATAATCTCCCTTCAATTTGGTAAGTAAGCAATGGCATTGTTACTACAAACAGGTCTTATTTAGGAAGACTGTCAGATACTTAGATTTAAGAAGGTGAGAAGAGAACATTGATACCAGAAAGGGTTTTGTTTTTGTTTTTGTTTTTGTTTTTGTTTCCCCAGAGACAGAGTTTGTCCTGGAACTTGCTCGCTCTGTAAACCGTGAACTCACAGAGGTCCTTCTGCCTCTGACTCCTTAGTACTGGGATTAAAGGCGTGCGCCACCACTGCCCCAGCCAAAAAAAAGAAGGCTTTTAAAAAGATGATGGGGGGGGGGGTTTGCTGGAGAGATGGCTCAGAAGTTAAAAGCACCCGCTGCTATTCCAGAGGTCCTGAGTTCAATTCCCAGTAACCACATGGTGGCTCACAACCATCCGTTATGAGATCTGGTGCCCTCTTCTGGTGTACAGAATGTTGTATACATAATAAATAATAAAACCTTTAAAAAAAAAAGATGATGGGGACATGAGAGCTATGGGCTCTCAGGAGTAATACTGTCAGAACACTATTCTATCTCAAAGGAAAAGAGAATGTCAAAGGAAAAGAGAATGCCTGGCTCGGGCTCTGGTTGGCACCTAAGCAGTTTGTGGATGCCGGATGCCAAGTAACTGAAACAACCCATTCCCCAAGCCTCCGTACGTGGGTCGTTTTCCTACCTGTGGCACAGACGCGCCCCAGATCAAACAAAGCCCTAGACCTTCACCAGGAAACCCAGTCCTCAGCTGCATTTTTTTTTTTTTTCATTTCAGTCTGGCTCCGTACTTTTTGGGGTCCGCTCCCACCCCACAGGCTCTTTAGCTCTCACAGGTCAGGCGTTCCCTCCAGACAGAGCACGGCACACCCCTCTCCATAACCAGTGCCCTGTGTTCTCCGGGGCTACGATCTCGGGATCGAAACTCCAAACCCAGGTTTGGGACCCCACCCGCAGCCACCTTCTGGTCAGTACAGCCCGGACAGAGGCGCACTCCCCAGCCTGGGTCACCGGCTTGACGCCTCCGTCCCCACTTTGTGGACCACACTCCCGCATCCTCCTTCCACCCGCGCCACGGGCCAACCTGAGCTTGGCCTCTTGGGGACGACCGTCACGCCCCGACGCGACGCTGGGCTCCAGCGGCCAGGATCTTTGCTCCTCTCGGCTCCCCACAGACACCTTCCTCTCCGCCACCTCCACCCGCCTCAGTCCCACTGGACGCCGCCATCCCTGATGGCCGCACTGGGCACAATTCCCGCTGCTCATTGGCTGTTACCTAGGCAACCACGAGCAACGCCACTCCCCATTGGTCCACTCTTCTTCCGTGCCATCTTTGTGAGGGGCCGAATGTTTTGGGAGCCTGGGCCAAATATCTGAAAGAGGGGTGGGGCTGAGCCTTCTGTCTCACTTCCATCAGCCAAACAGAAAAGGAGGACCCAGGTTTCATCTCTCCGGAGACTTCCAGGCAGAAACTTTAATCCCATATAAGGCCGAAGGTGTGTCCAAAGTGGCCACCAGCTCAAGAGGTTCTAATTTTTATGTTCATAAACAGCTCCACCGCAAAATCAGAAGAGAGAAACTAAATCCAGCTTTAGAAGCTCAGCATTATAATTTAGCAAGGCGCTGCACTTTTGCATTCACAGGGACTGGTTATGACCCACATCCTTTGCATTTAAAATGTGTTGCCATTCTTGGAGCAAGTCTTCCCAAATAATGTTCCCAAATATCGGTGTGTCCATATGTTTGTTTACTGAACCGTGTGCGTGCAGCATGATGTCAAGTTCTGCCAGGCTTGGAAAGCCACGGTCATTGTTGTTTCTCTCATAGGACTTATTATTACAAGACAAGGCAAGTTGCTTCAAATTGCTTTTTGGATGGGGATTTCTTCATCCACAGGTTAGAAAATGATAATGATGTCAATAATAATGGCTTTTCAGGACTTATATGAGAACACAATGTAAAAAGGAATAGTGGTTTGAAGTTATTTTTAAAAACTTTGGATTCTGTGTTCAAATTCTATCTCTGCTATTAATTGTGTATGTTTTTTGAGTAACGTATTAAGCTCTCTACCCTGTAAAATGAGATTGAACCAATAGATTTAATGTGGTACTAACACTCAATTGGTAATATAAGCTAATCTGGGAAATCAATTGTAGATTAAACTACAATCATTGAGAGTAGGAGTGTAAGAAAAAGGAGAATATTAGAATTCATGTTAGAAAATATGAAGAAATTAGATAAGATCATAGACTGTATAAGGGTAAATCATGGAAAGACCTGTAAATTAGCAAGAAGTGTATAAATGTAGTTTCTTTGATTAGCAAGAAGGCTTATTAAGTATGGGCAAACTGATTTGTCTCCTTAGGAAGCAGCATCCAACATCATAGGAGCTATAATGGCATTTAAATGAGTTCATCCATGTAAAATACTTAAAACAATGCCCAGTACTGAAAGACCCCTGGAGGCTCAGGCCCCAAGGGTTTCTGCCCAGGCAGCAACCCCAATCACCAGGCAGAGGCGAAAGCTTGATGCGAACAGCAAGAGTTTTTATTGTAGTTGTTTAACAAGCTAACCCCGTGTTAGCTCGGGCCTTTTATCCATCCACCATGGCTGATGGCTGGGGAAAGACCCTGAGAGGCCAAGGGGCAAATATCTTATAGGGCAGCATAAGGGGAGTGTCTAGGGGTACGCACAGGCTCAGGATTGGTGTGCCTCCAGGCTTGGAGTACTTGCCCTGTGTTGATTGGCTAACTGGTTGTCATGGCCCATAGGCCCTCCCAGGGCGGTTACTATGCTCTGCATGCACGTCATTGTCCTAAAGCACACCCAGAGCCATAACATAGCACCACCAGCTAACTTCTGATTGGTTCCTTGCCACAGGCAGGCATCTGACCTCCTAGTGACCAAGGCAAGGTCAGGCAAGCATGTGTTACGCTGTTATGGCTGCTGAAATGGGCAGCTGGTCCCTTCAGTATATAATCAGCACTGGGTAAGTGCTAGCTCTCCATATGTATTAGGACATGTTGGGACATGTTTAAGTAAAAGGGTGATCAAGTTCTAAGTGGTAGATAAGAAATAAAGCCTGAGGGGATTTCTATAGAGAAACCTTAGAATCCCTTGGAGAACTCTGAATCCTGGTCCTTTTCTTACCCATAATTTTAACTCCACAAGCTAAATGAGATGGAGGATACCACACATCATTTCCATGGTTCTGAGGACACACGAAGCAGACATCACTGCATTAGTTACGACTGAAAGGCCAATGGAATTCTATATAGATCTTTGCCCAGGATGGTTTATTTTAGTTTTTGATGTGCTGGGGGTTGGACACAGGACCTCTATATGGTAAGTGAACTGTCTACTACTGAGCTATTCTCTCGTCCCTGGAGGGGTTCATTTAAAAAATAAATTCAAGCTATTCTCATACATATAACCAAACAATAGCTTTTTCATTGAATACTTCTCGTGATTTGGAACAATAATTTGACTCAAGAAAGTAGTGCAAGGGAGATGGCTCGGCCGGTAGACACTCGCCACCAAGCCTTACAACTTGAGTTTAATTCCTGGAACTCACATAATAGAAGATGAGAACCAGTTACTGTCCTCTGACCTCCATGTGACACATACACACACATACATACACACAATAAATAGATACATAAAAATATTAAGGCATGACTATAAAATATTGGTGATTATGTGGTTGGTTGTCTTCTGTAAAAACTCTTTGTTTTACCTGCTGGTGGCTCTGAGGAGAAAAACAAGAATAATGAGAACCATAATCTCAGCAGTGACAAAAGGGACATCTGTGGAGGGCCTTTCATGTCCTGAGTCAATGCTAAGTGTGCTGCTTATGGAATCTTTTTAAAATATCAAGTGAGGTAAGGGTGATTATTCCCATTTTATAGATGAGGAATTTTAGAAATTACCATCTTAAAAATTGCCAATCATTTGTAGAACATTAACCTCAAATGTCTCTGATCTCCAAGCCCATATTTCTTCTATGCATTACATTCTACACTTTAACTTTATTAAATTTATTACTAGTGCGAGTGTGTGCGTGCCCCGTGTGTGTGTGTGTGTGTGTGTGTGTGTGTGTGTGTGTGTGTAAAGGTATCTGAAGAGGCCAGAAGAGGGTGTCAGATCCCCTGGAGCTGGAGTTATAGGTAGTTGTGATCCATCTGATGTGGGTGCTGGGGACTGAACTCCATTCCAAGAGCTGCAGTGCTCTTAACTGTGGACCCGCCCCCGCAGCACCCATTCTCCACTCAATGTCTGGTTTTGGAGCCGATGTGCTCCACATCACACCCCTGCCCTCCTATCAAGCAAGCTCTTTCCTCCAGGGATCCTGGTACCCTTCATTTGCCCTCTACTGTCTCCCCCCCCCCCCCCCCCCCCCCCCCCCTCCTGCCCATAAGCTCTTCCTCTTTCTCTTTGGCAATGTCTTATGCGCACGGTGGCCTTTTCTCTCTTTCTTCTCCCGCTGGTGATTCAGTTACTTCCTTTAGGAGCTGGCTCTTAGTACGGGCTCTGTATGCAGTTTTTGCTCACTCTCCAGCCTATTCCCAAGTCTACCGGCTATTGTGGCTGTCTCCGGACGGTCTTTATCCAGAGTGAGGACAGAGGCACATTTTTCTTCTTTTTACTAATGAAAACGAGCACCAACTGTGTCTAGACATTGATGTGAAGAAAGTTATAGGCTTTTTATTCTCAAGGGACGGAACTTCCCTTAATGATCAGATAAAGCATTGAATCGTTCGTTGGCTCAGACACTATGTAAATTGCAAGAGGGTTGGGATTTTTAAACTATTGAGATAGCATGGGGTGAACCGGGCATCTTTACTTCATTGTTGTCTTCTTAATTCTTTGAGCATAGCAGGTGCTTAGCGACACAAAAAATGACATTTTGCAGCTTCGCAGCCAGTTCGTGGTTGGCACTTAATTAACAAGTGACTAAGAACGCTGCTATTAGGAAAGCGTCCGAGCACCTGTCTGCCAATTGGAAGCTGGGGCGGGGCTAAGGGTAAGAGGGCGTGCCTGACTCGGGCTTGTCTTGTGGAACATGCGCAGTCTTCACAGAAGGTGACGCGAAAGCAGTGGAGGCCGTGATTGCGTAGGCGCAGGTTCTGATTGGCCACTGTTCGAGCGCGAGGGGCCGTGCCTACGCGTCGCCAAGTAAACAGGGCAGGCTAGGGGGCGGAGCTACGGAGGCAACGCTCTCTGATTGGCCAGGCGGGAGGTGGGGAGTGCCGCGGATTGGTCGCGGCCGCGAGCTCGCTGGAGTGGAGCGCGCCGGGTCCCCGAGCCGGCGGCCTGAGGGATGGACGAGACGAGCCCGCTAGTGTCCCCCGAGCGGGCCCAACCCCCAGAGTACACTTTCCCGTC